CAAAGTAAATTGACAACAGCTTGTAATGTTTGGGAGACACTAGGACCTTACTAGCCAACAGTTCCTTCTAAATGGACATAGTATTAAACCAATTCCTAAAGACTTACAGCTATAAACAAAGATGAGTGTGTCTCTGAGCCTTCATCAAAGGAGCTTCTTTTTGCAGTACATAGTCTTTTGATTAACACTGAGACCCACAACTGTCAAGGTGCAGGAAATAAGAAAATGGAACATCTCCGTCACACTCCTTCCTCTCAAGACACAGGAATTATTGCGGAAGAGAGGGTGGGGGTCAGACAAGTGTAAGAGATAGAGGTAATGGATGATTACAGCAAACTAGTGTGTTCTGGATATAACAGGGCACTTAAACATAGGGACAACTGACAATATGCAGAATACCTGGGCAAACTCAAGCCAGACCGTGCCATCGTAGAGAGGGAAAGTGGGCATGCAGCCCTACTACATAACTGAGGACATATTGGCAGTTGGAATCTACTGGAAGAGGGAAAGTCATTCTTGGTTTTGTTTTAAGGGCATGGCTCCTGGTATATCAACCATTCTCCAGTAGATAGCCTGATCGAGTCTATTTGTGGGTAGCACTCAATGGATTTTTTTTTTTTTAATGAGGACACTAAATCGAGCTATTAAGGAAGAAGGGATTGGTTATGGAAGCAGTTGGGGAGGGAATATGACCAAAACACATCACATGAAATTTTCAAAGGAAAGAAAGCTGGCAGAGCAGAAGGCAGCATAGGAACACTCCTCCATGGGCTCTTCAGTCCTACCTTCAAAGCTCTGACCTGAGTTCTTGCGCTGACTTGCTTCAGAAATAGATCATTCATTACCTGAGAGTGTAAGCCAAATAGACCCTTTCCTCACCAAGTTGTTTTTGATGTGACATGATGTTTGTCACATCAACAGAGATCAGAAAATAGGAGATCAGTCCCTGTGCAGTCCTTTCTAATCCGTATGCTACATTTCCATCAGCTATAACTTTACGTCTGTATTGGAAACTACAACAGTATTAGATTTTGTTCTTCTTAATTCTATTGTACTTAATAGTTGTGATTTTATTTAAGGGATGATTTTTTAAATTGTTAAAATTAAATGAGGGTTTACAAAAATCAAAATCATATCATAAGAGGATTACATTTTCTTTGTCTGTGCGATCACTTCAGAAAAAGGTGTCCCAATAATGACATGTATTTGTTAGAGTCACAACTCAGAGCTCGAACTACTTCTATTCTTCCTGAAGTTTTCTTCTTCTTTCTTTATTGAGAGGAGAAATAAGACCACTTGATTTATTTTTTTTTAACAGCTAGCTTCCAAGGAGTTATACAATTTATTAGGTATATTCCTTTGAAGATATGGAGACCAACTGCCTTCCTATTCTAGACAGATTACTTTGAAATTTCTTTCCCCACTTGGAATTTCTTAGTCTACTTTTTAAAATGTTCACCATTGTCCATTTGAATTTAACATTTTTGTAGGCCAGTGTTTTCTTAAGTTATAGGCTTAGGAACAGGACAGAGAAGCCAGCGTTTGGGAACAGGTTTCTCTTTACCCTCACATATTACTTACTTTATAATTAGATAAGAATCCTAGGCTTATAACATTTGTATTTGCCAGAAAAAGACTATCTGAGGCTTTGTACTGGGGGTTGGGGGGAGCTGTGGTGTTTAGGACAATGAGTCAGAACCTGGCATTGTTCATGAGATTTTCTTAATTTTCTCATAATAGTTACTCTTCCTTCTAATTCATTCTTCCAGATCCTGAGCACCATTTGAGGGAAATATATATATGAAAATCTAGCCCTTTTTATTTATTTTATGTGTGTGAGTATTTGACTTCATATATCTATATACCATGTGGGTGCCTGGTACCTATGGAGGCCCGAATAGGGCCTCAGGTCCCTTGGGACTAGATTTACTGATGATTTTAAGCTGCCAGGTAGGTACTAGAAGTTGACTCAGTTAGCATTCTGTCTAAACTCCACCCCCACAGTTACAACAGCCAGGTAGGCCTGGCCCACTATAAAAGGGGTTGCTTGCTCCCTCCTCCTTCTCTTGATCTCTTGCCTTCTTGCTCCCCCCGCCCCGTCCCCTCCCCCCTCCCCTTCCCTTCCCCCTGTTCCCACCCGCCCCCCCCCCGCCTTTCTCTGTCTCTACTCCCCTCCCCATCCCCATGCCCTGAATAAACTCTATGCGTTGTTGTGTGGCTGGTCTCTTAGGGGGAAGAGATGCCCAGGCATCAGGGCCTGCTGAGATATCCCCTTCCCCCACAGCTCACCGCACACCCACAGAACATATTTTATATCTCTTTATCTTTTTATAAACATATCAGACCCTGGTTCCTCAGGAAGAGCAGCCAGGGCTCTTAACCACTGAGCCATCTCTCCAGCCTCAAAATAAGAGTTTAGTGGTGCATCTAGAGCAATATATCAGTTGGTAACAATCACACAGAAGTAACAATTTAATTCTCTTTTTTTCTAAATCTATTTATGTATGTAACATTTACACTATAGCCATCTTCAGACACCCAGCAGAGGGCACCAAATCCCTTTACAGATGGTTGTGAGCCACCATGTGGTTGCTGGGAATTGAACTCAGGACCTCTAGAAGAACAGTCAGTGCTCTAAACCACTGAGCCATCCCTCCAGCTCTTTCCTGATTAATAAAGTAAACATTTCTTAATGAAAGATGAAAATTTGCACACAGACCTTTGCTGAGACAGTTTTTAAATGGGTTGAATGTTTATTAATTCTTCTATTTTTATTCAATCTTTTGACTAAATGAAACCTACACCAAAATTAAAAACTAAATTCTATTTTTACTTTTTAGGTATTCTGTGAGTATTTTTTTTTGAGTTATATATAAATAACCTGAGAAAGATTGGCACTGTTTTATTTTTATATATTATATTTTTATATTAATTAATTAATTATGAGATGTTAAATAAAATAATTACTTCTTTGTAGTATGGGCACAAAAATGTTTTTAGGTTTTGTTTTTGTTTTCATTTCTCTCTACTACAATGGGACCTTAATATCAAACTCCTACAGTGGCTAGTATCAGCCTTTTGTCTCATGACTTTTAAGTGTCAGAGAGGTAACATTGGTATGTAAATATTGAGTTCCTGAAACAGCTCCCCCATCTATTATAGACGGAGAGAAGACACTGAGTTGTAATAAATCCTGGGGCTTTTGTGCCTCGTGCATTTAATCCAATGGATTCTGATGCTAAGCTGTAGCCACTTGAGTGGTTAGTTTGTTTCTAGGAGAAAGAAAATGATGAGTAGCTTGAACCTATGACAAGAAATAAAGACATCTACTATACATGTAATAGTATCCTGTCTTAAAGTTTGATGTTGTACACTAAAAATGACATTGTTGTCAAGCTGTAGGATTTTACTTAGCATGTTAGATTTAGTATACCTTGGAGTTTAGTAGTTCAGAATTCCAAATTGCTTAGCAAATATTAGTTATGAATGCCTCTTGCAGACATGAATCTGCATTGTGTCCATTTATTTCTAGAGTTAAAAAATAAGAAACTGTTTATTTAATCATATTCATTACTTTTGCATCACTGGGATCAAACCAGCTTGTACAAACTCTAAGATTTGTTTTGGCTCATGCTTGTAGGGGGTTCAGTCTGTTGTGATTGGGAAGGCATGGCGGAGTAGCTGCATCCATGGCACCAGGAACATGTGGCTAAATCATGATATACCAGAAAATAGAGAGTGCAACCGGAACCAAGGCCTGGGCTGTAACTCCAAAGACCCTCACCTACATCTCACAGCTAGGTCCCACTTCCCCAAAGTTCTGTAATCCAAATACTTTTCAGAGCTCAGGTATAAATAAGAATTACAGTCACAGGTGCAGTTAAAAGAAGTGGCTTTAGCAGTCTTTGTAGGTTACTAATGACCCTGCTGTATCCTCACAAACATCATTGATGGTAATTGCCATCTTAATGCAGCAGTGAACCAGAGTGCTTAGGGGTGGATTTCACAAGTGCCTTCTCCCAGGGCCTTGTCAGTATGAAGGCTCAGAAATAGTTTAAAACTACTATGTTGTTGTTTTTTTTTTTTTTTTGGTTTTTTTTTTTTTGGTCTTTTTGTTGTTGTTGTTGTGTTTTTTTTTTTTTTAAGACAAGGTCTCATGCAGGCCATGTTAGTCTTGAATTCTCACCTAGTGGTGGAAAAAGAATTTGGACTTGCAGTTAGTCCTCTTCGTGTTGGCATTACAGGCCCATACTCAGTTTATGAGGTGCAGTGGATTAAATCAGCCTATGCACTGTGCTCCCAGTCCTGGGCTGAGTTATTTCCTAGGGCCATCTGCAGGCTGCATGGCTGCGATCTCATACTTATTGACAAATAGGCACAAGAAGGGTGGTCATTGGACCAGCGACTGAGTTACCAGGAGACCTTGTATCCAGATTTTATTTAAAATTTACATCTGTCCTTAAAGAAGGACCCTCAGATAATTGATAGGCCACATAAAGTGTATCCACTGCTATGGGGCCAGCAGATACAAGGAGAAAATCATGTAGTTGTAAAGGGGGAGCTGACCAGTAGCAAGGATCATCCACTTTGGGTTAGTAGGGATCCTGAAATATAACTGCTCATAGCCCTTGACCACATACTAACTCTGTGGACTTGAGGAGAAAGAGTAGAGTTACAATACATAAGTTGTAGACTCTGACAACAACTTACCTGCTAAACGTCAAACAACAAACTCTGGCAGGTTTGACTCTTTTTTTAATTACAAAATCCCTAACTACATTCAAATATTCTCTGCCATACATTTCCTAAAGCCACATCAGCAGCTCATAATGGTAAAGCTAATATTGGGAACCTTATAGATCTGTTTATAAACAAATTGAAAACTTCACTTCAGGGATGCTCAGAAGACTTTGCACTTGGTAAAACTGATATATTTTACGTGGCATATTTTACTTTTTAAAGACGTTAACTGTGTTTCCTTCTATTTGCCCCTTATCCAGATCCATATCCAGAGAACAGAAGGGTGTGACCATATGACTTGTTCACAGTGTAACACTAATTTTTGCTATCGATGTGGAGAGAGATACCGCCAGCTCCGGTTTTTCGGAGACCACACATCAAACCTCAGTATATTTGGATGCAAATATCGCTACCTCCCAGAGAGACCTCATTTAAGAAGATTAGTTCGGGGGTCAGTCTGTGGTGAGTAGCATACACATTTACTCTTGGGTGCCTCCTTAGGATCGGGGGAAGGGCGATAGCAGGGTCCTTAGCCATGAGAATCTCAAGGGCTTGCTATGTACCAGGGATTCTAGTAGGTCCCTTACCGAAGAGTAAGAAGAAAATCACTCCTTTTGTGAACAAAACTGAAAAGTTAAAATTGTTAATATGACATTCTTTCATGATCAGTGCTTCTGAAATACTGAGTGAAAGCCAATTGGTGACGAGAAGAACGGACTTGACGTATTTATTTTTATATAGATTTAACAGGTATCTAAACACAAGGATGTGCTGTTGACTCTTTAAATATGTACAATCCAGCATGAAATGGGACAATGATGAAGAAACACACACACATCCCAAAGGAATAAGCAAATAAAATAGTAAATCTAGAGACACAATCAATGGTTTATTGTCATAGCAGAAATGAAATAAAATTTTAATTTAAAAATGTTTAAATAAGATATAATTTATAGTTGTGAAAAATTATATTTGATTAAGAGAATTGTTACTGATCTTGATCCAGTCAAAATCATCTTTAGAAATAGACCTAACCATGTCCTGTTTATTATAAACCATCGAGTTTATTCCTCCTAAAGGGTAGACATATGCTCCTTGAACTCAGTGATGGTTGGGAAGAAAAAGTCAGTGCCATTATTACTTGACAGTTGTATTCTGTTGCTGTGAAGAAAATGGTGGATACTTTAATAGGATATATTACTAAAGAGAAGAAGCTGTATACAAGGACTAAGGAAAGAGAAACAGACTCTTAAAATATGTAAAGCTTGGTCCTGTATTCTACATTCTCCCACACAGCTCTATGGATACACAAGCCATTGTCCAATAAGATTTAATATCATTTAACTGAGTTTTGTCATTGATGTAAAACAAAAGAAAAATGTCTGTCTGAGTATTATGTTAAATGGACAATTCATATCTAAATTTCTAGTTATTAAGCAATGTTGTTAAAATTGATATTTAAAGCTGTGTTTTTCCATATCTAGTCATCTCATTCCAAAACTATTTTCTATGAACTAAAAAGGTTAATTTTTCCCTGCCAACATCCCAACAAATGGTTGAGTTATCTTTCATTCACTGGTCAATGATCGTAACTAATAGACGGTATTGGCTGTGTGGTTCTTAAGTAGCTGCGTGCCTACTGCAGACTTCTTGTTCCCTGCACACTCTTTGTGACATCGTGTTTGTACAGTTATGTCAAAAGTCACAGCACAGTAACAAGACGTAAGTACTGTCCTGGTTTTGTCTATGTTGGTGCCTTTCAGAGTCACAGGGATTCCACTGGTGGCTTCTGGGCTGCAGTTACATGTAACAGTGGTGATCATTGTCACCGATCAATTATTCATTCAGCAGAGAAGCCGCTGGTGCTGCCAAGTGTACCGTGCCTGCCAGCACCGAGCTGTCTTACAATGCTTCCTGTTAACATTTGTTTCAGTGATTCACTTGAGTGACTTCCAGCACACCACTTACTCAGTGGGAAGTTTCTCTAGCAGTTGTCTTCAGGCATCCCGTTTGAGTTCAATCTGCTAGACATTCACATGATTTCCCTCTTTATCTAGCAAGTTAATAAATCGTTTTTCTTAGACATGGGCCTTGTCAGAAACCCTCTTTGGTCTCTACCAGCTCTCTAGCTTTGTGAGCTTAATAGATTGTCCACTGAGTCACTCCATTCTTAGTCGCTCAACATTTTGAACATTAAAAGTAGAAGAAATCTAAAGGAAAAGCACAAAGACTGCAATGTGTCAGTATAAAGGATTATGATCTTTTTGGGTTATAAACAGTAACCTGAGGACCTGTGGTTCCTCAGCATATGCTCATGGCTTTGTGGCCCTGCATACCGTGTATCAGTTCTACATGTGTCCTTAATTGTACCTGTGCTCCTGTCAGGATCACTGGAACTGCTTGGGAACTCAGCAGTGAGAACCTTTAATTCTTGTACTTTTGTTTTCCAGCTGGAAAGCTCTTCATTGCGCCTCTCATCCTGGTTTTGGGATTGGCACTAGGGGCCATAGCAGTTGTAATCGGTAAGAAACATGACATACTTGAGATTAGAATTATCCCACGGCAGCAGAGACAGTGAGTGTACATGTCGTAGCGTGAGTCAGTCAGTGTGTGTGCTTTCTGCTCTGCTTTGTTTCATGCCATGCAATTCAGGGTGTATAAGTCAGGAGGAACGTGTTGCCTACAGGATATGTTTATGAGACTTTAATATATGAACATCCTGTAGAGCTGTTGAAAACACACATTACTAGATCCTACTGTCACTTTCTAGCACAGTGTGCTGGCTGGACCCACGGGTTTATGTTTCTAAAAAGGTCTCAGATGCTACTAATACTGTTTGTTAGCCCGTGGGCTATGCTTTGAGAAGCATTGCTTTAGAAATTTCGACTTAAACGTTCTGGATAGAAGCTACTTTGATCATTAGTCCCTATAGAACGTGGGGTACTTTGGCTGAACGAAATGATTTTTTTCACATGTAAAGTTTTCTTTGTAGATAATGAATGTGTGGGGCAGAGAGAATTACAAAGTGTCTCACACTCAAGTCATCATAGTCCGTTGGGACTTTGAAGAACAGATATCATTATCTGTGCTGTCAAGTAGAGGGATTCAAGTCTCACTAAGATTGTCTCAAAATTGTTAGAACTGGGAACCCACATATATGTTCTTAAATAAAGTGTTACACCAGCCAGTAATGAAATGACTATTATAATGTGCAAATTATAGGATTGTGACAGTAAGGACGTGGACATAAAGCTAAATGGTGTGCTAGAAAACATCGGCTTTGTTTTTTTTTGTTTTGTTTTGTTTTTGTTGTTGTTGGTTTTAATTAGACTTGTGTGACTGAGGGTGATAAAGGAGACAGAGGACTACAGGGAACTAGAAAGAATGAAGTATTAGAGAAAATAGATCCCATAGTATTTTTATGGGATGAACTGAACTATTAATAATGATTGTTGTAAATAATTTGTATATAAGTAAAATTGGGAAATTTAAAAAATATATGTATGTATACATAGATGTATACACACATACATATATATATATATACACACACACACCTCAATGCTTTCCTCCCTAATTGCCTTCATTTTTTTCAATCCCTAGGTTTATTTGTATTTCCTATATATTGCCTTTGTAAAAAACAGAGAAAGCGATCACGGACAGGTATGCACTGGTAATCCACAGAGGATTTCATAGGATGTCAGCCGGTACCAGGAGCCATGAAGGATTGTGCACCTGTCTGTGAGTTGGAGCCTTCAAACCTCCTAGAGGAACTTGTGCCATCTTGTCTCCTGTGGTTCTCTACAGGCCACAGTCCTCGAGTTCACGGTGCACTCTCAACATGGTATCCTGTCCTTTCCCTAAACAATTGCTGCTTTTTAAAAAATGGTCACTTTCGTTAACTATAGACATTTATATAGTAACTCTGACCTTTGTGGTTCTTGGAAGAAAATATTTTGAGAACAGGGTATCCTCAGATATGTTTTGAGGACACCTCACAGGAGTGTTATTTGGATTGTCTGAACCTTGTGCTTCCCCAGGCTGTCTCTGAGACTTGGTTTGCATAGCTGAATCCTGCCTGTCTCAACAAACAAAGCCACTTTTCAGAAGGTAAATCAAAGTTCACCAAATGCACCTGTCATCATCTGTAACCCAAATGGTATCATCGTTTTGTTCATCGTTAGTGTAATTGCTTTAAAAAAAAAAAACAAAAACAAAAACAAAACTCAGCACCCAGAGGGGAATTAATGAAACTAAATTAATGAGAAGAACCATGAGTTACTGGTGGTCTATGTAAGGGTGTGAATGTGTGTATATAAACACGTATTAAACTAGGCTCCATAACCGTGTGCTCGTCTATTTCCATGTCTATTTTCATAGAACCTTTCAGCCATGATGGTTATTTTCGTGGGCCTAACTTGGTAATGTACTGAATTAAAGCCAATGTCAACAACAGGTTGTTTCCATGGTAACTGTCTGTTTCTTGCTCTTTCTATGGTCACACACACACGCCGCGATGTATGCGATGTCACTCTGAGACATACCAAACTTTGTAAACTGACAAAACCAAAATGGATGGTTTCAGAAAGTCCCCAAGTTTCCAACTCTTGCTCTTTTCAGATTCCATGGATTTTGACACACATACTTTAGCCTGTCCTGGGATTATTTAATAATAATAATAATAATAATAATAATAAATCTTTTGCTTTGAAGAAAATTGCTTAAACTTTTAATTTAATTCCCATTCTGCTCATTATTTAATTACCACCTTATAATCCTAGATAATTTTGCTTTAGGTCAAGTTTTTAAAAATTATTGAATGTTCTACTCCTGCCCTCTTCTGTCTTTTTTTTTTAAAAATTTGTCCCCAACTTTTTTACAAAAATAAATACTAGTTTGGGAGGATTTTGCCCGTGTTTATTATCTGGGTGCCATAATTTGTTGATATTTCCTTGTAGAGAGACAAACTTGAAAACAGATTTTTATGTACATAGTTTCTTCAAAACATAAACTGCTTTTGGAGTAGGAAACAAATGCAAATATTTTCAGGAAGTTCTTTTGAGTAAGGAAATAGAGTTTAACTGCCCAGCTCTATTTCCATGCTTTCATCATCAAGTTTATAGAAACAAAGAAGAGATGCTAAGAAGCCTAAGCTTTCCACTCATCCCTGAATTCTCAAAATGAGCTGGTTACCAGAAGTGTAACCATGCTTGACTTGAAGTAGACACTCACATTTACATGGCTATTTCATGGTTTCGGAAGCCAGTGTGTAAGAGCTTCATACCTCGTGTTTCACTGAAAAAGTTGCGTCTGTGAAGGACAGTCCACATTTAAGCTGGCATGCTGACGCTCCTTCTGAGCTGGACAGCCTCTGCTAAGTGGCAAGTTTCTGGCAAGAGGAGTGTGCAGCACTGCTGGCTCCGGAACTCCATACTCTAGACTATGGTGTGAGGTAAGGAACAACGGTCTCTGGTTTCACAGATTTATCTTCCCGTGCCTTCAGCCATCCACCTGGCAAGTGTTTACTGTTCGCTTTAGGTGTGCTAGTCTTAGACCAAAAGAATGAGGACTTCTAGACCAAATACATGTTTCTGCTGTAAGATTGCTTGATCTTTAGAAATTCATCTTTCCTGGACTTGGTCATCAGCCTGGCCAGATGTGAGTAGGACAGATCTGTCTTGTGTATCGATGTATGCAAATATATGTATGTCATATGTAACCATAATCATGTTTGTACACACCTCCTGAGTGAACAGGGACTTTTGGGTCTGAGATAGTCTGTATTCTTGGGTTATTGTGCCTGTTGTCTTTGGCCTACTCAGGGATTTTTAGTCTAGTCTTTAAATAACTTATCTTTTACAGGTAATTTTGTATGATTTGAAAATTTTTCCAAAATATGAGTTACAAAGTGGTATTTGTTACCAGGAAAGGCAGTTTCATCAGAGTCTGGGAGATTGCATAGAGTGCTGAACAGGCATCTCATTTGTAAGTGCATAAATTTGTAAAATAATTGTATGCATTTTTGTCTTTTTAAAGAATATGCAACCACATACACATGTATGTGTGTCCTTTCCATGGTAGTAACTTAAAAGTAATCATTTGTGAATATTTTAGTAAGTCTTAAAAATCTTGAAAGAGTCAGAAAAATGAAAAAAAGTATTTCTATGTCAGTACCAACTTTGAAAGTAGAACAGTAGTAACCTTTAGAGTATATTCTGAAAACTCCTTTACAAAATGAAGTATACATGGTAAGTGTCCTTTTGTCTATGGCTTGTCCTTATATGTTGCCCTTGTAAATGTATATGTGTTCCTAAAAACAATCAAACCATATTGAACTATAAACTACAAGGTCCTCTGTTTATCTACCCCTTGTTTTCCTAGGGGTGATTATCAGTGGTCTGATACTGTCCTTCTAGATGCTTCTTTCCTTCCAATGTACAAAGAAGTGTGTGTATCCTCGGTGTGTGTATGTATGTACCCTTGTCTGTTAGTTTTCTACAAATAGAACGACATCCTTAGCTCTGTCTCTTTTTCATGTTTTGAAATATTGGAAAAATGACTTTCCATTAGTGTTTCTATACATTCGAAAATTACTGTCTAATTAAACATAAAGCTATGTTTTAAGTGACTGGGTTGGTTAGGTAGGTAGGTAGGTAGTTGAATGGAAGACAAGGTAGTTTTCACTTGTCACAAACTAAGCATATAATGCCTCCATGAATTTTGTCACCTAATATGACTATTTCCATGGGACTTTAAATTTTATTTTTACACAATATTTTTAATATAGATTTTTAAAGATATACTCAGAAAAATGAGACCATAGGAATAATGTATTCTAGACCTTATTTGTGAGTAAACAGTGGAGAGTGCCTAATTTTAAAGCAAAGCATCTTTTGAGAGGCTTTCTCCTTAAAAGATTAGCCAGATACCTTACCAAAATTTAAAGGGGAAAGTTAATCTGTTCCCATCGAAGCTAAAACATAGTGAGCTGTCTTTGACAGTGTGAAAAGATGAAATGGTCTTCAGATTGCTTCCTTTTAACTTTAGTGCTCCAGCCAAATGGATGGATGTCTAAAACACTCCGCATCGTCATGTGTCTCATTTATGAAAGGTAGGAGAGAAAGGAAAGGCATCAAACCTGTAACACAGCAACATCCTCTTCCCACCTTTATGGTCCAGCATTTAGCCACTTACCATCTCCTACAAGAACAGATAGGAAAACAAAGATGAGTTAGACACCAAATGTGTTGCAACATGGTATCTGTCTCTCTGCTGTGGGATCAAGATTCAGTGGTACTTCGTGGAGAATACCAAACTCTGAAGTATAATCCCAAATCCCAGGACCCTGCTTGGGTCTTTATGTTTTCATATCACTGCCCAGATACATGCCCCAGTGTTCCTGCAATACTCTACACTTATGCAGTCACTGTCTAGCCTATGTTAGTTCCAAACACGTTTTTATCCACACTTCAGTCACCCTCAGAGAAGGGGAGAAGCAGGTTGAAGGGAACAGCTCACCCTGGTCTGTGTGGCCTCAGTGATTCTCCTGGCTTCTCTCAGATTTCACTGCATCTCCCAACATATCTCCCCTCCCCAACAGATGAAACTGTTTTAGCATCAGAGATTTATGATGCCTATTATTTTGATTATAAAAAAAAGCTAAATAATTATTAGGTGGCATATAAGTGCAAAACCAAGAAAATCTAACTTTGGATGTTAGTTTTATAAACAAGCTGCAAACCCGTGTTAGCATGAGTCCTTCCATGTCCGTGGTTAAAGTCTGTTTCCATTATTGTTTAATGCTAATGTCTGCTATAATTGGTAGCCTTAAAATGGATGCACTTTTCCCCAGTGTCTGTGCCATTTAAATAATTAACTGGTAAAACAGAAGTGACAGATATGTGTTTTTCAGCAACAAGAGTGGATTCGTGCCAGCAAATATGTCTAAATTTTTCAAACATGAGGAATCAGAAGCTGAGTACTTAATGTACAACATTTTTAAATATTATTTGAGTATAAAGCACTCAAATATAGAACTGCTAAAATTTGAGTAATCCTGGAATTTTTTTCAACAACTTTGCTATGTTTAGAACTCATAACAAATAATGCTGCCACATAATAATTTCACTTGAATGTTTGTTTAAAATATTAATTACTAGTGAAAGTATTAATTGTATTTAACTGTATTTCATAGTCCATGAATTCTATACAAGATTTTTTTTTACTTGAAACACAATGAATAAAATAGTTGGAACACATTTTTTTCAATTTATAGTGTAATTGTACACTTTTCTACAGTTATGGACACTAACTTCCAAGATGACATATTGCAATATGTCTCTACAATGATCATATCAATAAAACTAAGATACTTATACAGAAACAGTATTATCAAAACAAGCACTCCAAACTTGAAAATGTATTTAAGATTGTATGATGTTACTTTCTGAAAGCAAATGAATGGATGGGACTCTACTGTAACTCTTCCTTTGAGTGTACAGCTAAGACTGATTTCAAAGCCGTGTGCTATGTGGGACTTCTCTCATCACTCTGTGAGTCTGCAGCTTTTGATGTTTTCCAGAAACAACGGACAGAGTTCCAGAAAAATACATGAAATATTACCAATGCCCTTTTGAGGGTCGTTTTTTTATGTCTCTAAAAGATACTTCATTGATTTATTAGATTATGTAAACTCATTAGCAAAGGCAGTAATGTTCGTTTTTCAACTCTGAGCCGTATGCTGCCACTCTGTTTCTCCTTGTGTACAGCAGTACTCCTGTATCTCAACCTCACGTGCCTGTTGTTTTCCTTAGTTTTCCAGACTGTCCTTCTTTTTACTTCCGCAGTTCACTCCCCTTCTCATCTTGGCCTAGTGAGGAATAAATTGTCTTAACCATTAGCTCTTTTCATTGTAATGCAATGAAATGATACTGAAAAGTCTTCGTGACTTGACTGTTCTAGTAAAACTGTCATTTATCTTTTTTGTTTGTTAACTGAAATGGATCCAGTGTGCCTGGATCAGTTTTCCTGATTCTTGATAGGGGTTGAGGAACTCTCCCTAGCCTTCTGCCAAGTTAAGTCAGACAAATGAGATGCCAATTGGACCAGGGGGTTAACAATACTCCAGAGCCAAACTTAAGAAATTCATGATCACTGGAAGCTTAGTGCAGCATCTGCATATCTGATGGACGAAAAGCACATATATATTCACACAACCCAACACGTAGTCTTTTATCCTTCATCAAAAATAAGTTAGAGTTATGATCACTGGTCTTTAAGTAAAAACATCCTCGAGCTTGAACTTAGGTTGGACTGAAACAGAGTAGCAATTGTACGTAAGATGCAGCGAACAATTTGTGCTCTTTGGTTATTATTAGACAGTTTCATAATCTAAAGTAGATCACCTTTCCTATAACCAGGATTGGCCCTATTCTAGGGAAACCATTTATCATTTG